TCTCTCTCTCTCTCTCTCTCTCTCTCTCTCTCTCTCTCTCTCTCTCTCTCTCTCTCTTGCCACCTCACGCTTGATTGAATATTCCACTCGACGCTTTATCAGACAGACGCTCGTTGAATATCAATACACCGTGGAGCGGCAATTCCGGTAGTTTGATATCCGCTACCACGATCTCGATGCGATGATCGCGTTGAGTCGCGGCTATTAGCCGCGTTATTTCACGAGGAATCTTGCGAATTCCAGGGGATAATTCGCGCGTTCTAGCGTCACACGTGTTGCTCGAGCTCAGAGAAATTCAAACGTTGAAAACTTGGGTAATGATATCATACATACGTTTGAATGATCACAATTGACAAGAAATTTTTCTGCGCGTCACGCAAACACACGAAAGATCGTTATAATAAGATATTCGCCGTTTCGGCGAATATATCAACATCGTGACTTACGACAGATGCGCGGAATTCCTTTCACAAGTCTCACCGCTTTCCTCGTGGCGCCCCGAGACGTAAACCCCCGTTTCGTAATTTCAACTTTTACTCGCGAAACTTAACGGGAGAAGCCGGAAAATTCGAGCAGAGATACTTGATGGAAGAAAAACAATTCCCGGATGCTCCTTGAGGAGAGGTGGGTACGAAACTTTTCGCATCATTCGCCATATCCGTGATTCAGCGTGTTGTAGTCGCGGAAATGAGTTCCGCGGGGGCGGCTTATAAAAAGGATTCCTCGTGCTTACGCTGAGTTATAATTCGATCCGTTGTGTAATTTCCGTTTGGCCGCAAATAGCGACCTCGAAGCGCGCGTCGCGTCGTCGTCCTACGTGTAAGATCTGATAATTCGATAGGATTGTGTAATCATTCCCCGCGGTGATTTACGTACAAACTCCGTGTGCTTTTATCATAAACCGTAATGGTACTTTTCTGAATATAACAATTTGTTTACACTTTGAATTATAATAGACGACAATGTGAGCTTCAAGACTGCCGTATCTGTAATGTGTGTTATCATGGGTGAGAGAAATATTACACGAATCACAAAAAAAAAAAAAAAGAACAAACATGACAATGTGTGTAATGTATAATCGTTCATCATTTGTGTAATCACGTATTACAACAAATATCCGGTAACGTCATACACCAAAAATATAGGAGAACACTAGATCTCCCGACGACACAGTCGAACGCTGTACATATTGCATGTTTCATCGAGACAAATCCGCTTTAAACATACGCGCGCGTATTCTGTCATATGCTATATACAGTTCGTTTAGAGGCTCGTCGGCGCGTGCGGTGAAATATGCATGGGAGATTATTGAGAACGTTACCAAAAACAGAAGTATCGAATTTTGATCCGCGGGCAAAATTGTCCCGAATAATTTTCTTTTTTTTTTTTTTTTTGCCCGCTGAAATCGCGGAGCGAGTTAAAGAGATTAATGTTCGTAATTCTATGTGCGTTTGCACAAATCTCCACAGCAATTGTCTATTAATTGTCATATAAGCAAGAAATATATATCGGATATTAATAGCAGATTGTAGAATAACCCACAGTTAATATGAGTTTTTATAAAACGTATATTGAAAATATTAATTTTCGCGCAGATAGATGAATATAAACCTCTTTTGTTATTTCAACACAATTTTCAATAGACGAGTTAATACGAAGAATCACATTTGAAGTGAAAATCCAATTTCATGATTATTGTACTGAAAAACAAAGCGCAGAAAAATACGATGGTCAATATTTCGCGCGTAACGAGTAAAACCGCGAGTACAAGTGAATATATATATATATATATATATATATATGTACACATATATATATGTATATATACAATATATATACATATATATAAACATATATGTATATGTGTGTGTATATATATATGTATTGCTGAAAGAACATATAGTCTATTAGTCGTACGAATGGAAAAACCGTAAATGAAAGCGCAGTTCGATCCAGCGATCGAAACGGTAACGAACTTCGACCTATAGTATTTCGAGTGTGCCGTTAAGAGCGAGACCCTTCAAATAGGAATGTGCTCCTGTTAAAAACCGCTCGATGTTTTTCAGAAGAGTTACATACATATACACACACATTTACATACATATATATCACACACACATACGATATATGTATCCGAATATAGCGAAGCGAAACGAGTGCCGCAAAAATCGAAATATTTTGATCGTCATCGGTTGGAAAACACAGGGACAGCGTAGTCATGCGTGCGCTTGCGTTTCACGTATGCGCGCAAAGGCCGAATATTTCACACAAAGCGCAAATACGGCCATACGCACGCGAACAATCCGTTATAAATGTGTATACTCTTTGATGCTGGGTTCAGTAATCACCCTCTTCCAAACACATTCTCCTCTTCCTGTTCCTCTTCTGCACAGTGCCGAGTGTTCATATTACGATTCAACTTCAACTCGAATTCCCACCGAATGTGTATAAACTTTAATAGCCTGTTAAACGTAAATTAGAATGTAGCCGCGCGCGATGAAATTTGCGCTGCGACTATCGCGAGCGGTATTCCTTATCGCGCGGCACGCACAGTGGATAACATAAAAATCACGCGAACGCGAGATAGACCATAAATGGATTATATGCTTTATAATCCCGAGTTATATGTATACATTGCTGGAACTATATATATATATGGTACCTATAACGACGAATCGGAATCGCGTTTGCATATATATCGCGAGAAATCATATTTAAATTCGTACGTCGTACGTATCACACACGCAAAACACGGTAAACCCCGATAAGTATTCGCGCGAGTAAGCGCGGCGTGAAATGTAAGAGTGTATACAAGTATACACGGGAAAAAATTATATTCAAAAAGAGCAAAAATATTCCACTAGAAGTTACTCGCGCGAAAATGTGGAAAACTGCGCGAGAGATATAAGATGACGCGTCCTCGTAAATCAATATCTTCAGTCAGAGGAGAGAGACCGAGAGCTCGTTTGCAGTAATACTAAAAGCTCGCGCATTGATACACGCCGAAGAATTATTACCGAATTTATGAGCGGCGCGCATCCGTATCCTGTGCGCGCGCGCGCGCGCGAGCGGGGCAAAAAAACGTGATAAAAACGGTAGCTTCATCGCGGAGAGTACTAATGGGTTTTCGATAACCAATTCGGATAATCGGGACGCGCTGAAAAACCGACGGAACCTTCGCTTAAACCCAATAATTACAAAGTCTCTTATATGTACACACACACACACACAGACATACATCGCGTTCTACCCACGAGCACACTGTAGCAAGACGAGAGGTGCGCGACCAACCACCACGACAGTGGCGGTGGCACGCCATAAATGCGTCCCCGGGTCTTTGATGCAGCGGTCAGCGGTCCTCCAAAACGGCCACGTTGCAACCTCTTGGCGGTCGGTGCCTCAACGTAGCCGGCACCTAACACCCGATTATCGTCCTCCGAATTCCCTTCTACGTCGGCTGATTTTACACAGACGCGCCGCTTCGACGACGACGAAGACGCGCCTTCGTAAACCTTGAGCCCTTCACAATACACAAGCTTCTATGTGTATCGGGATGCTCTCTCTGTGCATCTTTGACATCCAAATAACATTTTCCCCTTCGGCAGTGCCAGTCGATCTCAAACATGTTCGCCGCGAGCGAATAATAGACCGCGATACGAACGTCAGCCCATCAAAGCGGCAACCTTCATCCAGACTGCGGAAATCTGTGTATGCAGGGAGAGATCGCACGCGCTCTCGGATCATTCCGGAAGCTCGAGGTAATTTTCCGGAGCGCGCCCCTCGCGTCATAATGTAATAAGCATAGGGGAGAGAGAAACGGATCTGCGCTTATTCGCGAAGAATGAATTTACCCGCGTTACTCATTTCACAGGAGGGAAGAGGGAAAAGCAGAAGGCTCGTCGTCGTCGTCGTCGTCGTTGTCGTTGTCGTCGTCGTCGTCGTCGCGGAAACCCTTTCGTTCTCTGACGTTCCGACGAGCAGAGGAAAATACCCTCCCTCATTCACGTAAGAGTGCGGTCTTGTCAAAGTGCATAAATTCGCATGATTGCGCATCCGGGTCGATGCAACGGTCTTCTACGCGCGTTCGGCGTGCCGATTTTATTTACGAATGCTCTTTTCCTCTCAAATCCGCTTCAATTTCGCCGGCGGGCGTTACATGTTTGGCCGAACGGAGGCGCATTACTTATTCAGCGAGACGCATAAAGCTCCATAGTCGGCTAATGGAACGAAATGGAATTATATAGGCGCGCTGTTGCAATTATCGCACAGAAAAATCTCACTGATACTCTCATCTTCTTTTTTTTTTTTTTTTACGTCTCTCTCCAACTTGATAACATTCTGTCAATGATTTGCATTTATTTGTAAATTTTATAAAGCATTTAACAATTAACATTACTTTCAATTTTTTTTTTTTTAGCGAATAAAACATCTAGTATATAGATATTCTTCGCGATTTAACGATATTATTTTTTTTATAAACGTTTCTACAAGCTTCGTGTCACGGATCGATCGTGTGCTGTTTTGCTTCACGTATTTATATATACACTAGGACAACACAGGCGCGCACTACGCGCACGCTATTATTGTTTTTATTTTAACGTGTCGTGTCAGTGAACGCAACCTGTCACCGCGATGACAGCTGGTATATACACGTCTTACAAACCATATGATACACATAAGAGAGATGTCAGAAATAACGCACGAAAATCAAAATAAAAAAAAAATAATAAGAGGAAGGAGTGGAAAAACACACGTGACTAAACTCACGTGATTGTACTTTAGTCACGTGACTGCACTCTTTAGTCACGTGTCTTTAAAAACGTGACTAAAGTAAAGTCACGTGACTTTATTTTAGTTATGTTTTTAAAAACACGCGCAACGAAGTCGCGCCCGTCGAACGGCGCGAGACACGTACCGTGCCTCTTGATTCGTACGATACGAATCGAGAAACACATCCGAGAAACGTTTTAATTAGCGTCGTGGCAACAAGTAATATATCGCTAACCTTTTCGTGTGTGACATAAAAACTCGCGCACGCATCACACGTAGCAATAGAATATTTCGTTTTTTTTCTTCGCTGCCGAAGACTTCCGGCAGGCAAGCGAAGTAGGAAAGCTTCGCGCAAACGAGTTTTACGGCGACCTATCTTCGTGCGACCACCTACACCGTTTTGCGCCGCGCGCGCAAGGTGCATCGACATGTCGATACTACCTGCTGTTGGATCCCGCGTCTTCCCGCGGCACGGTATATATATATATATATATATATATCGCTCCTGGCTGCCATTGCCGCGAGATAAACCTCTGGAAATTGGATTTACATGACGCGGATTAGGATAACCGAATCTGATAGGCCGACTCCCTGTCTCCTCGCGTCATTGGAAATGTATTCCAAGATTCTCGTACGTCCGTACCGTCTATACGTGTAAAATACGAGACGAGAGCGCATATACGGAAGACATTACGGAAAGAGTTTCGCCGACAGTTATGTCATCTTACGTTTCTATACCGCGAAGAGAACGCATTGCAACGCTTGTTGTCGCACAAGTCGGAAGATGTTTTTCTGCACGTAATTTATTTCGAGAAAAATCTTTCCCGATAAGAGTTTTCGATTTCAACCGGAGATCGAGACGCAATCGCGTTGCGGTTTCTGCGAACTTTTTCCTGTATATCGAGCAAAACTCTCTTTTCATGCCGCACGTAACACGTTACGAATATATTATCAATTGACAAAGAATAAACGTCTTTATCCGGAAAAATATCGAACTTTTTTTATAACATAAAGATTTTTATAGACCACATTTTTTTTTTATTATTGAATATACATTCACCTAAATCAAGTGTGGGAGAAACTTTATCGCTCATAAACTCGCTAACTTGGTAACTTTTAGAAAGCCGCGGCTTTACAAGCTCTCTTATACGTCGCGCTATATTCCTTGACAATCAACTTTGCGCGATATGATATTCCCCGCTTCAATTCCGGCGAGATATGGCGCGCGCGCGCGCACACACACATACACACAGAATTCCTCGCTGCAAATTACTCGCTGTGAAACCGCGCGTAATAAGACAAGACGTGAAAAGGTGTCCACGAGCGTGCTTGCGGAGCGACGGGGCCCAGCGTCCACTTAAGGAATTATTCAACATTAATCGAAACTTACGGAATTCCAGATTATCCGCTGCGTCGTCGTCGTCGTCGTCGTCGTCGTCGTCGTCGTCGTCGTCGTCGTCGGATATTCGGAATTTCAAATGGCCCATGACTTACGAATATTCAACAGGCACTTCTCGGCGCACACTCGGCGCCGTTTGTACACGAGACCGTTTAGGCAATCGCAGTGCGCTTTCTCTCGCTGACATTTGCGCAAGTGAAATTTGATTTCATCCGAGCTTTATTCGTCGCAAATCCGTTATCTTTCGCAGAGCGTCGGTTTTTATTTCTTCATTTTCCGCGTACACTTTCTTTACATTGAAATTACGACTTGCGCGCTGCCGCAAAAAGTTCAATTATAATTTATGTTGACTTTGTCAAGAAGAAATAAAAAAAAAACGAACAGACGGATAGTAAAATCAAGCTTGACGAATATAGCAAAAGTATATCATATGAATGCAATCTCTCTCGATACATTTCTGTGCTAACAAAGAAGATCGCGCGACTTCCTATAAGACCTTGGAGATAATAGTTGATTTATGGTCAGACCGTATACTCCATCGAACTTTAGGGATACATTAAACTTTTATAACGTGCTCAAAAGTACTCACGGCTTTTCGCTTTCTTTCCTCGCGCGCGTGAGAGCGATCCGCACTCTACTTTCGCCGGTAAATCTTCTTCGAGCGGTGAGGTTTTCGAGTCGACTCTATCCATCAACGTCGCGGCATGCAAGTATCCATTTTACTTAATAACCACTGACATAATCTGTTTTATTTCTCATATCAGCCGGCGCTACCGCCACTCGCTCTAACCGTTTTTTTCTAAGCAAAAATTCTCTGTTTTTTTTTTCTCCGCGCGTTGCGATGGGAAAAACCAGTCGTAGTTAATCACGCAAATTCGGCGATCAATATCGAAATACGATCCTGAGCGCGCGCGATTTTTCGGCGCTCGATCTCTCCCCATCGACCCCAATTTCAACCCGGCGAAGAGCAAGCAAGCAAGCAAGCAGGCAAGGGCCCGCATTCCGTGACGACGAAATTCCTTTCCTGTCAGGTCGTCGTCCATGAATTTACGGCCACGAAAGTAGTCAGCCCTGAAAAATGCTATCCGCGGTCAAAAATTTACGGGCGCGCGATGCGGTTGTTCAGGAGGTGAAAAAGTAGAGTCCCGGAGAGGCGGAATAGGAATTTTGCTGTTGCGAAATATGTACTGCGTTTCCTCTTTCATGCCGACGAGACACTCATGCGCGTAATACGCGCGATAAATTTGGCGCACGCGGGACTCTTATTCACCGTGTGCGATACGCGCCGCACACATTACTAGATTTGAACTTATTTATTAATAAATATCTCTCCTTTTTCCGAGACATCAGAGTAATATATGTGGAAAATCGATATTCTCTATTAATTTACTTTATACAATTTCTCATACGTATTTTACATAATTTGATATACAACTGATTTTTCCATTCAGAAATTCAATCTCACGCAAAGATTTTTTCTATTTATTTACAGGTGTTTTCCCAAGTTGACATACTGTTCAGTATCGGCGGGAAATATTACACAGGAGAACCCATTACGTACACTTATATGGAAGACAAGATCTTCGAAACTTCTCGGAACATTACTATCAAGCTTCATCATCGAGTTGGAAAATTCGTTAAGCTCAGACTTCATTTCTCGGAACGATGGATCATGGTCAGCGAAGTAACTTTCGATTCTGGTAAGACAGTTGTATCACGTGTGTAATCTCTCGTAAATACACTTGACACATCGCACATTATCTCTTCTTGTCACAATATTATCGAAATATTTCATTAAACGTAATTTCCATTGAAAATTTCAAAAATTTCTAGATAAAATGTCATGAAACATTTCTGGATAAAATATCAAATTATAAAAGTATTCTGAAAACACACAGTTCACAGTTTTACGTTTTTAACAGCACACGTTTTTCCGATAATAGTAAGTTCGCAAGTTTTTCCTTCAATATAAAAACTATGTTTCCTATTATAGATATATCGAAGCATAAAACTTCTCCTTGAAAATAACCAATAACTTTCAAATCAATTCCTTCGATTCTGCTAAGAAAAAAATAATAATTTCTAATAAGACCGTTTAAATGTACGAAGCACAGCCGATCGTATATCAAACTTGGAAAATTGCGCGTCATCTTTTTGCTCGACGCGAAGGAACGCGAGAAACGTAATGTGTTTTCTCTCTTCACGAAATTTATGAAGGTTTATTGTGCAGTCCACTCACGCGCGCGCGCACGCGTTCGGTGCGAACGTACCTATACAACTCAAATTCAATTCGATTTTTAAATGACCGTAATCGGCGGAGCAAACTAGGGCAATAGAAATTTATGCGTTGTCGTTTTTTTTTCGAACGAAAGTGACGGAAAGAATAGCGCAAAGAGCTGAAAAGAGATGACGCGCGATTCGTCATTTAATTCTCCTACCCCGAATCCATCATCTATCTTGTCCATCCATCTTGCGACAGCCTCCAGCAGGACGTTGCCGGCCAAAATTCGGGAATATATTAAAACCCTCGAACGAGGATATATTTCCACGCTGATCCGCGCGCCACAACGGACGAAAACAATGGTCGGAGGGAAAAAAGAGCCGTACAACATCGCGGACGGAAACTAGGGACGAAAATTTCTGCTCGTGACGCGAAATCGTTTCGTGGTACGGCTCATACCTACCGTAAGCCGGAGGGGGGAGGACGGCAAGGGTGGAGGAGGAGTGGTCGATGGAGAGAATGTATTTCTTTTTGTGATTCTGCCATTTCATTCCAATTCGGCACAGCCAAACCACCGCAAAACCTTCTTCCGCGCGCCGCATCCTCTTTCTTCTTCTACTCCTCCTCCTCTTCCTCTTCTCTCTTTCTCTTTTCTCATCTTTGCTCCACCCAATGGTCGGCTGTCAATCATCGAAAAAATATACCTCGAAGTTGATTTAAATTGATACGTGCGGTAATTGACAATGGTTTATCGTATATCTGCCTGGCGATGATTTCAGAAAGAACAATGCCTCCCGGGAGAGGCAAACGTGCGAACAGAGAAGAGAAAAACGTGTATAATAATCTATATCTATATACGTATCGTATTCTGACGTTGCATCTCTTTAGGGTTTGACATTTCGCGTACGAAAAAAATCACCTGCGATTCGATTTGGAGCGTTCGCTCGATAGAAATCAACTTCCCTTGCTATTCACGGCCGGTTTTCTTATACACAGCGAGACGCGAAAGTTATGTAGACAGAGAAAGAGAAACGTTCTTTTTATCAACGAAGATGTATAAGTCGCAGGATACGTCTTCATATCGAACTGTGCGCGATTTCTGAAAGCGAACTCTCTCCTTTTACTCTCGTTCCCGCGTTCCGTTTGATTTAACGCGGATTCGATAAGAATCACATCTCTTACGAAGAAGGTTTATCCGCGTTTACAGTACACAGAGAGACACGCGATTAAATCTCCGAATAAGGGAGATTTGTAACCAGAACGGACAGAGAATGCATCAACAATATCGGAAAATTGTGCGCTATATAAAATCTTATCGAACGGTATATATTTATATAAATTTTATGCACATGCGCGCTCACATATTGTATATATGTGTATATAAATATTATCTATCAACATATTTACCGAGCAGGGTCATGTATAACATAACACGTGTGTAATATCGCGTTGTGCCAATTTGATTTCGCGATGTCGCGCGTTATTGATCTTTACATTAAAATTAAGATCGACAATTCTGGGACGGTTTGTTACAATGGAACAATCAGCATGAATATTCTGAGAAACGTTCGAAACAGACAATCAGGTCATGATATTCCTGTCTTTGAAACGTCTCAATGTTTGCGAAGCAAACTGATATAATTTATGTTTGTCGTTTGTATTTGTCAATTACAAAAGGAAAACAAATATGCTCAGTTTGGTTTTCGATTTGGTTTTACATTATTCACGAAATTGCAAAATTATCTTTCGAGCGTGTCACCCTGTCCAAAGACATTGCGCACAGGAAAAATAGAAAAAAAGTTTTGATTCTCTCAGATGAACTTGTGACATATATAATCATGACAAGAAAAATATTTGTTGATTATGACTACAAAAAAAATATTTTCTTATTTTGAAGCAAGAACGAATGATCTTCGTTTTGTACTATTATTAAATCTACGTATTTTAAATATCAAACACAGTATTGTTCCAACATAAAATCTACAAATTTGTTTTATTTTTTGTTGAAACACATTTTATTCAAAAAAACAAAAAAAAAACAAAATATGAATGCGAAGGCAATGGATCAACGAACAAATTTGTTTTGTTTTTTTTTATGTCAAAGTTACATAAAAAAATATACAAGTTTTTCAAATTTGACATATAAAGTATTCTTTGAGAGTTACAAAACTCGCGCACGACATAGTTTTTTGGAAATATTTTATAAGAATACAACAATAAAAAGAATTTCCAACGTTGTGTGTGTTTGTAATCTTTCGAATTTATAAAAAAAAAGAAATATATGGTAATTCTAAGGGCTCAAAGTGTCTCGTATTATGATATATAGCGAACGTGCAGCGGAAACGTGACACAAAGCTAGAAGATCGCGATCATCCCTCATCCTTTAAAATCACCCTTCAATCTCTCCTGTCAAAAGGAGAGCTTTTACATGGAAGTTTTCGCCAAGGTGAACAAGTCATCCAACGGCCATGACGATACGAAACTTTCGATAAATCCAAATACACGCGCCACCTCGTCCAACGTGACGAGGGTTTTTTTCTTGGGTAACTTGGGCAGTTGTCGTATCATCAAAAAAAATGTCTATTCTGAAGAATCGTGACGGACAATTTTGATGGCACACGTTACGTTCGCTTTTTTTTTTATTTATGTAGTTGTAAGAGAATATTTGTTATTCGTGCGCAATTTCACAGAGTAAAAATAACAACATAAGAAAATGTAAAATGGAACTTCGAAAGATTTCTTTGCAAAAAAACAAGATAAATAACTCTGTGCATAAAATTTTATATAATTTTGTTTTAAATATAAATAAGTCTGTATAATATTTCGAGCAGAAGTGAAATTAATTGAAGGAGGAAGAAACAGATTTTCCAACTCGGTGACTGAAATTCAGAAATTCTAGAGGAAACCGTAATCTTCGCATTGTAATGAGAAATTACGCGACGAACTAATGGGAGATAAGAACATCCTTGCTCTTATTCAAGGTATTTACGTACAAAGGGTCGTTTGTCGAGAGGACTTAGCGACGTAGCGACGAGATCATAAAGCGGGCACGAAACTCTTTGCTCGCTTCCTTGTGCTCTCCGCTCTTTTTCCACGTCAAAGGATATATGCAAAAACGCACGCCAGACGGGCTTTTTCGTAGGCGCATAAAATGTGCATTGTAAATCGTAAAACAAGAACAATGCGCAGCTAACATATTCAAAATATCATTCAACAGTTCCCCCCAACGCGGTCATTACGGTAATTTAATCGTGTCGGATTCTAGAGACGCGTGTGCGTGCTAGATTACTGTATATTGTGCTGTTTGCCTGTAACACAAATCGCGAACTTTGTAATCAAGAAGAAACTTGCTTTGCTGAAACCGCAGTGTGTGTACATAAGAGGGAAACAATAGTTACAGTAGCCGTACAATGCGTGCGAGCAAGTTTTGGCACAATCCGTATTTTTGTTGTTCTTACAACGATGCGCGATTTTAACTTGTAAAATTGTTATCACTAGCTTTATAAGTGTAATTATTATTTATACAAATTGATTATACAAACTTAGTTATTTTGCAATGCATTTGAAAAAAAATATTTAAAACTTTTCTTTCGAAATAAAACAAAAAACTGTAACAGTTACAAACACAAGTGGCTGATTAAACTATTGCGATATAATTGCATAGGTCATCGAAAGTTTTCGATGTGGTTATAAAGTTATTCCCTTGTTCTTCTTGCCTGTTAAGAAAAAACGGTCGAACGTTTCTCGTCGCGATGTTCAACGACGAGAAAACTTATTGCAAATGTAACATTTTCGAAAATCATTATATAATTTGAAAGAAACCGTACACTTGCCGATAACAATATCGCGTATCCGCGGCGTTGTGTGTGTAAAGTATCCCTTCAATAACAACTTCAAAAAATCGTTTCTGATTGGGGGGGACGAGAGAAAAGCTCATATATGCCATTCCGGTGTTCTTATAGATATATAACTATGAGCTATTATTCGTAGATAATGATGCAACTAGGTAGCTTTCTCGCAAGAGAGCATCGTGCTCTCGTTCAAGGTATAAAGGGTTGTTTGTCAAGCGGATTTACCAACGAGATCACATAAACCGGGTGAGGAAATCTGAAACTTTTTGCCTCTGGTGCATTCATAACGCTCATCCGCCTCGTGCGTCACAGTATGCGCCATCGAAATACGCGTCTTTCACGGCGTTGTTCGCGTACAAGTAAACGACGTGAATGTTATAACGAGAATATCGCACAGCAACGTCCTTCAATTAACAACGCAGAAAATACACAAGTTGAATCTGAAAGAAAATACTTACACGGTTGCGCTAAATCAGAACAATTTCTATAAATATCAAATTTCAGAGATGTGACAGGGGATATACAATGGCGTAATTTTTAAACTACAGTATTATTTTTCCAAGACGTGTGACTGCAAAATCTGAGTCTAATCGCCACAATCTGTCTTAACAAATATAATCGTATCATT